CCCCAGACCCCCCCGNATAAGTTACAACTCCCCTCATAGACCAAGAGGCACGCACTGCGTTGGCGCGTTTTCGTTCATGTGCGCACTCTTCATGCACATGCATAGATAGTTCTGGCACTGTTTGTGAACAAAAAGTAAATCCGACAAAGCAAAGGCCCAAAGCAAGCAACCGCATAGCAAATCAAAGGCCGTCACCCGCCACTGCAAACCCATGCCCTTGTGGATGCGCTGTGTCTGAGCCCGCTTGGCACTGCGAGCGCTCGGGTTGGGCGCCTCGCCGCATTCGTTGTTGTCGAGCTGATTGGGTGACAGCTTGCGCTTATGCTGATCACAACCGCCATGGAAGGCAGGGGTAATGGCGCCCGTGTCATCGGTCGCCGCTGGCAGCAACACCATTGCCGATGCATTACCGACAACAGCACCGCCGTCCCAAACGCCTTTATCAGGAAAAAATTCAGGCTTATCTTGCTGTTTTGGTGTTTGTTCGGCGTTCAAGTCGTTGCCTTTTGCGTGTTTGGCTATGTAAGGACCGGTCATACATTCTGCTATGCCGCGTTGACTCACGGGCTTGACCTTCTTACGGCCCCCCATATCTAGTCTATGATCGATAATACTAAGTTCTGCACACTACGGAGCAATCTGGCAGCAATGGACGTTTTTGGCTGGAGGAATGAAAATGTACGGATCAGCCTCAATTCATTCCTTTTTTCCAAAGGCCAAAATGGCCTCTTTATTCCTTAAAAGGAATATATTACTTAAAAAAAACACTGGGCGGCGTTGTGCCGCATTTCTGTTAGCTCAGGCGTAATTTGCATGCTCTCAATCGCTAAAGTGCAGACGGCTTTTTATTACTCTTGACCAATTTTATTATGCATAGGATCCAAGCTGCTTCTTCCCCTCCCCTTAATCACGGAAATCATTTAAGTGCGGTGAAGTTGTCGGGTCCTGCTAAATTAGGTAGTGTTGTCCAGGTAAGAAATAAACCTCCGCACAACCCGCATAACACCCCGTAACTTATTATTGTGTTGTTTAGCATTGTGTCGTTTAGCATAAAATTGGGCGAGTCATGACAACACGCGCGAGGACGTGAAGGGGCGTGAGAGAGTCCACTGCAAGAGTTTTAAGCTGGAATGTTGTTTTCCCTCAATAACTAACTCCCTAATAAAAGGGCGACCTCGCAAAAGCATTTTCAAAAGTTAAGTTCATATATCGCTTTGGGATTATCTGTGACAGAAAATAACTCATTGTCGGCATTAGGTCGAATGTAAAATATAAAACTAAACCTGTCGAAGTGGGAACACCAAAGGTAACGAACCGCGTATCTGGATAGTCTTGGCCGATAGCTGCCCAAAGCAGGGCCAACATTCTTTTTGGAATTATTAGGGTTTCCTCATTAGGTTTGATAATTTATTCTTATCATCTTAGCCCGTCGAAGCCATCTTAGCATGAAGCCCGGCACAAAAAAGATATGCACATCTGCGCAGCTAAAGAGGCTACAGTATCCTCTATCTCGACACGTCACTAGGCTCAGTGATCAGGAGTTAAAGCAGCAGAACAATCTCAATTGTATTTTTTGATTCCTATGCCTCGATGCCTCAATAAAGGTTTCCAAGATGCCATCTGGGTTCATTTCAGTTCATGGTGATAGCGCCGAGGAACGAATGGAACGAAGGCCAGTTGGCGGGCTGTCCTAGCATGCAGCTGCAATATAGGATAGCCAAGGCTTAAATTACTTTATAATTATTTTATAATGATAAATATTACTTTATAATACTGAATAAGTAGATCTTTCCTCAGCCGTCGTCCTACATAGCCAGGTACGTGTCCCTGGCGACATTTTCATGTCTTAAACATCAAGTTTATTACGTGATGTGATGTGATGTGATGTGATGTGATGTGATGTGATGTGCA